GCCCACGTGGAATCCTTCTGTAATACCCACAGAATTATATAGTTCTGCTAAAGTAAACGTAGAGAGCTTTAACTGCAGTAATTCCTGAGAACATTACCTTGATGATTCCAACATCTCAGTTCAGGATTTTAAGATAAATAGCACTTTGAAAATGGTTGTTTCTAGTTTGTGAACCAAATAATAACTTAGATGACAAGCTGTAGGAGCAACAGCATCATCCTCTCTGTTTGGGCACGTTCCATTAAGGTGTCATTCTTGGGTTATTTTTAGGTACAACTTAATGCCTGATGTATAATAGAAAAAGTTGGTTATACTGCAGGAAAGGGAGATAGTGATCCAAAAAGGTTTCCTCTCTTACCAACAGATAGACATTTTAAATAAAAAAAAAAAAAAGTTTGGAAAAACTTTATCTTTCCTAAACTAATTGCTTCGCTTCTGAGGTGAACGTTACTTGATTTGCACATGGAGGAAAAAAAAGATGTCGTGAGCGTACGATGACAGGTCTTAAGATTTAGAGGGGAGGGTATTTCCCTCGCAGAGGGGCTGCCCCAGCTCAGGGGAGCCGCAGCCCGGGGCTGTGAGCAGCCTCCCCACGGGGGAGGGAGCTGAGCCCGGCCTGGGGGGCAGAGGGGGCCGAGTGTGGGGGGGTTCTGGGGGCGCAGCGGTGGCTGAGGACGGGGCTGGGGCTGCTCTGCAGGAGCTGGAGCGTGTCGGGACCCCACGGAGTCTGGGCCGTGGGTGAATCCTCTGGGAGCACGGGCCTGACCGAGTGCAGGAGCTTTGTCTGAACTCCTCCTTTCTCTTCCACCGATAGTGCTGCCAGTTAGTTTCTGTGATCTTCATACAGGAAACACCAGTAGTGTTTAATTTTGAGCTCCTGAGGACAATCTGGACTTTCTGAAGGTGCCTTTTCGCTGCCAGGACAGAGAACTTGAGCCCTTGACCAGGTGTTGTGGGAGGCTGGGGTCGGAGGCAGACGGCAGCGCTTGTCTCGGATCTTTGGGGTTGCCTGAAAAATGAGGTACAGAGGGGCCCGTGGTCGGAGTCTGGACTGTTGGGAGGATTATCTGACTTGCTTTCGCTGTCAGCGTTATGGTTTAGACTTAACTGAAGTCTGCACGTGGTGGTTGGGAATTGATCCCTTCACAGAGCACATGGTGGAATTCTGTTTTCCTTTCATATCTTTTAGCTCCAAAACGTTGCTGCAGTGAGGGAGCGGTGCAAGGCTCACACTATTTTTCACACGTTAGTGTTTGGTGTAGGTCTTGTTTCTCACTCGCAGCCGGGAGCAGCACGCTTAATCAATAATTAAGGTGCATTGGGAATATTATTAAATGCGTTGTGAAAATGGAATTGATAATGGCTTGCTGTGCCTGCTTTGGGTTTTGCTCAGCTGGATACCTGTTCCTAATTCAATATATATAGAAATCTATTGGGAAAATTGAGATCTCTGCACTTGAGGTGGGTGAAACACTGCGCTGATTGTTGCTGGTGATGTTTCCTGGCTAGAGAACCAGGTCTGTGTGAAGTGCTGGGTGTTGCAGGCCCTCTCCTGCAGCAGGTGAGGCCTCCTGCCTCCCCCCTGGGTGGCAAAGCCCCAGGTTGTCCCTGGTCACACTGGTACATGAGGGTGCTGCCACCTTCACACACGGGACCGTGCATCTGCCTCACGGGGGGTGCAGGAGGTGCCCCTCCTTCCGGGGTCCTCGTAGTTGCTGATGAAAAAAACATGCTTCGTCCGGTGGAAGTGACTCCTGTGACCATTAAAGTTAATGTGTGTTTTGAGAAGGAGCCCGGGGTTCAGGGCTCTGCTGTTACGTGACACCCCACAGCCCGTTCCGGGGGAGTTCTGCCTCTTTTGGTTTGACACCATCAAACATCTCTCTTCTTTTGGTTTCCTTCATGGCCTGGGGGAGCTTTGAAAGGTGTGGGGGAGTTTTGGTTTGACACTGTCAAACATCTCTCTTCTTTTGGTTTCCTTCATGGCCTGGGGGAGCTTTGAAAGGTGACAGGTAATGACAGTGGCACGAGTCCCCCCAGCTGGGTGTCCCCTGGCCCCCACCAGCACGAGGCTTCTCTTTGCCACCCTCCCATACATGGCCTGGGGGAGCTTTGAAAGGTGACAGGTAACAACAGTGGCACGAGTCCCCCCAGCTATGTGTCCCCTGGCCCCCACTGGCACGAGGCTTCTCTTTGCCACCCTCCCATAGGTTTGCTGACCGGCAGGTCCTTTCCCTCTGGTTACATTTCTGCTTCTGGAAAATGTTTAGATTCTGACCTTGCAAGTTTTATTAAATTCTCTTCTAAATTTTTCCCTTCAGTCAGTCTGCTCTGGGAAGTCTGTCACAAGCTCAGTGTTAAGATTTTGGTTGCAGGATAATTTGAAATAATATTAAAATAGAAGGCTTTTAAAAAAAACCTCAATACTTCAATTTTTGTTGGCTCAATTGAATCTTAAATGGAATTGAGACTGTTGCAATGAAAAAAATATTCTCTTCCACCCAGTCAAAATGAGACAGATGGTTCGATAGTCGATTTTGGGGAGTTGCTTGGGGAGAATCTTTGATCCAAAGCAGTGGAGACCCGAGGGGAGCTGCGCTGAGGAGGGCAGCGTTGCCAGCCCGTGGAGAGCAGCGCGTGTGCGTAACCTTTGTCACTCTGTAAAGCTTTAACCTCGTCAGGAAAGTTCCCGATAGCAGCTGGGAGGATTGTTCTGCAGCCAATCAAACGGGCTGGGTATTTGTTAGCCTCAGTTAAATAAGCAAAAATTGATATTTTGGCCTTCTCTTCAGAAGAGCCGCTTGCCCGAGCGGAGCAGGGCTGCTCCTGGAGCTCAGCAGACTCCCTGTTCAAAAGCTGATGTAAATTAGGGACTTTTTCTCCTTGGTCCATGGTGTCTTGCTGTTGAGGTGCATGAGTGACATCAGGGCTGGGTCTTGCAGAATTGCATTACATGGCACGGAGTGTTTCTAGAACAAAGGGGAAGCAGCCCACGCTCAGTTTCAGGTGTGTCTTTCAGGCGATGTATTAATAGGTCCGTTCATCACTTTATCAGCCCGAATCTCTTTAATTTCTTAGCGCTTTTCCCTTGGACCTGGGATTTCTGAACTTCTGCATCACCACGTGTGTCTCTCAGTATTTGCTGAAGTGAGTAACATCATCTGCCATACTCAGAGCTGCTCTGGGCTTCTGATCATCTCAGAAGTGCAGTAATCTCCCTAAAGTGTTTCAGTTTCGCTTTATCATCCTTATTCCTTAGAATGACTTCCAGCTTGAGCTAGATGCTGACCTCAAAGATGTGAGGTGGTGAGGCAAGTGTTTATTTTTATAAAATAATGAATCATCTCCTGAATGAATGTGTCTTGTCTTTTTTGCTTTGATGAAAAGTAAATTCCAGGCAGTGGGATGAGCCAGTTTTGGGTTGGGGGGTGATGCTGTGTGGGCCACGGAGCAGAGGGGGGGTCTGAGCTGCACCCAGAGTGTGTGGGTGCAACAGGTTCCCCGGCTGTTCTTCCAGGGTTGTTTTGTTGGAGAACAATTACTCTGAAAACTGGGGAGGGAAATGTTCGTGTGTCCTTTCACACTGAACTGTTTCTAGTTCTCCTTTCTGTTTCCAGTTACGTTCTCCTGCTGCGATTAACGCAAGGGGGAAAACTCTGCTGCTGCCTGGATTAAATGAGTTGCACGTGGGGGATTTTCAATCCCCAAAAGGGCCTTGCAAAAATTGTCATCTTTGTTTGCCTTTATCTCATGATTGTCTTGAACTTCTCCCATGTTTGAAACGTTTTTTGTTACTGAATTTGGGCTTGTCCTTGTAGCAAATAGCTTTGGAACTAGGTGTGACCTTGGCAGAGGAATTATCTCTAAAGCTATTGCAACTGCTTCCTTATCCTTTTGCTTTATGTTTGAGGCCCGGTAGAAAGCCACTCCTTTCAGAATGCAGCAGACTGGCCTCTGAAATATCAGACTTCCTTATTTGTGAATTTGTGAGATATGGGTTAGGATTAATGGCTTTTGCCTTTTAAATTCAAGCAAATGGTGTGGGTGAAGTGGGCTGTGGTTCCATGTCTGAAGGAACCTGTTTGGAGGAATCTGGGTGAGTTGCTCGTAGGGTGTTGGGAATTTCTGGGAAGAGAAGTTTTGCAAAAGCGTAGTTTTGTTGTCTGTGTGGAAGGAGTTGGTTTTATCGTGGTAGAGCGAAAGCCGTGACAAAGCACGTCCCCTGTGCTGTTGCTGGGCTATGGACAACTTTCCCAAACACCTTAGAGCTTGGAAAGGGACCTTGGAGGGCACCATCTTTGCTGTAGGAACAAGTGTTTCTCTCTGTCAGGAATCCTGCAGTTTATCCTGTCTCATTGTTTACCCTCTTATGGTAACTATGGTCCTTGTTGCCTCAAAGGGGGACGATCCTGTTCTCCCCTCCCAGCAGGCTGTGATGGGGGGTGTGTTTATCTCAGCGCTTCAAAAACTTCAATCTCCTTGGTTACAGGTTGAAGGAAGTCGTTAGCAAACACTGATGTGTATAAGGTGTAGGTAAACTCGCGGGGAAGTCGGGTAGCTCTCAGGTAAGTCCATGAGGGATCCTGGCACAGCGTAGGTGATGGTTGTTTAGTAGAGATGTCACCAAGTCATTAGTTTCTTCTCCTTGAAATATGTTTTTTTACCTTCCTTTCTAGGAAGGGGTCTGGAGGAGGGAAAATTTCCCTTTCTGGTGAAAGGGGACTGGAGCATTATGACAGTCAAGTCTTTAAAAGCTTATGAGTTACCAGAGTCCTTGACGGCTAGCGGCTTCCTCTGCAGCTGTTGTCGGATGTCAATAAAGAGAGGTTGAAGGCAACACTTCTAATGGAGGTAGAAATGAAATACTTGGAAAATACCAAGGATTTTCCTGTTTTGATTAATGAAAAATCATGTGGGTGCTTAATAGCTGGTTAGACACTTGCAATGTGGAACTCTGTAGAAAAATCACTAAATTCAACTTTATTATCTGGCTTGACTTCTAAAGCATCTGTGGATCATTTTTCCTAACAGAAGTGTTCTGGTCTCTTCAGCAGGTAACATCCAAAGGTGCTGGCTTGAACCCTAACGCCAAAGTGTGGCAGGAAGTTCCCCAGGGGAGCGGTGAGACCGTGCCACCAACAAATGGCACAGAGCACTCCTGGCAAGAAACAGCGGCTGCACAAGGGACTCACGCCGAGGGTGAGCTGTCGGGGGCCCCTTTTGGGCACAATCAGGGATGTCGTGTCCCTGGCTGGGTGGCACTGAGGGCTCTACAGAACAGAGCTCCTCAGTGAGGAGCAACCTCTTGCCCTTGTCCTTGAGGCCGTTGGTGCTGACGTAGCAACAAGAGTGAAATGAGGGTGAGAAAGCAGCAGAGAGTTTATAGAGATGACGGGTCTGAGCTTTGGTTTGGGGATTCACTTCAGCAGGTGACAGGATCCAAGGGGCCCGGTGATGACTGTAACGCGCTAAGAGGGAAACAAGATGCTAAATGTGTCGAAATGGTTTCACGACTTGGTCACCGTTGCTGCACTTTAGCGTACACTTGACCCTGTGAACAGGAAGACACGATCTGAGGGCCCCCTACAATCCTGGTCGATGGCTGAGGTGCTGTGAGGACTGTTAGACCGTAGCATTTGCACTAGAGTAGAGACTGCAAAGCGCCTTAGTCTGTGTTCCACTTCTCTCCCCATTTTCCATCCTTCCCACATGCTCAGTCCTGTCCCCCAGAACTAAAGATTCACACAGTTTAACTCTTGGGATTTGGCTTTGAGTTGATACAAAGCCAGTTGTGTGGCTGAGGTGACTCAAAACACAGCAGAAGCCTGTTAAGCTGGAAGCAGGACAACCCCTGGAAAAAGGTTTAGGGGTAAAGATGGGAGGATTCAGTTTGTGTGGCCCCGTCAAAAAGTTTCTGGTAAGTCAGCAGAAGTGGAGAGACAGCACTGAGTTTGTGCATTGGCTGAAAGAGACTCGTCTGTCTCTTCAGAGCAACACGAAGCGCCGGTGGCAGCGTGACGCTGCTGGAACACTGCAGGCAACCTCCCCATGTACATTGTTGTTGCTTTTAAGCAGTTTCTAACATATGCAGTTGAATAGTATGTTCTCTCTTCTCAAAGTATGTTTTTTAGTGGATGCATCATTAGTGTGGAAAAGATCCAGCAGAGCAGTTGATTTGTTTTTTTGGAACAATCTCCTTTGCCCAACTTGGATTAAACTAAAATTGTGCTTGTTTGTGCCTGAGCAGCTGTGGGGAAGACTGGGGTGAGGTGTCCTGAAGGAGAGCTTGGCCAGTTTCAGTGTCATTCCACTGTCTCTTGTAACAATTGCTAGACACTCCCAAATCCTTTATAGAAATAAGAAATGTGTAATGCATTGAAAAATTGATGTAAGCTATTTTAGGGCTTTGGTTTTAGGAACCTCACTTAAATATTTTAAATTTCAGGTGGAAAGACTGTTTTTTACATCCTTTGCTGCTTTTGGGGATCTTATAATTTCATGATTTACTTATTCTTGAGACCCCAGCGCAAACCAGAAGGTCTTTCTGAAATTGGAGAGGTAGAAAGTGCTGTCCAGTGCAAAGTAGATGCTGAAAGTCTAAGGAACTAAGCCTCAACACTGTCAGTTACAGCATTCTTCAATGTTTGTTTTAATGTTGAGAGCCAAAATTTTTTGAACAGAAAATATTCTGAAGCTTCTGGTAGGTTTTCCGTTGATGGTGATGTTCTTTTGCCAGGTAACCTAGAGATTTCAGAGGATAACTGCAAGCAGTATGAAGTGATGTATTCCCCATCGTGTGAAGCCACAAGAAATGGCACAGGAGTTGATGAAGCATCTGCAAATGGGATTGTCCTGGCGACTGAAGATCTTGGATACCAACTCTATGAAGTGTCAGGTGAGTGTTCCAGCTCGAATGCCGCTGTCAGTATCTCTGATCTGCTGAAGTCTGCTGCAGTTAGGATGTGACTGTAAATCCTGAGCAGGAACTCTGAAATGTTCCATTCAATGGGGTGAGTGTTCCAGCTCGAATGCTGCTGTCAGTATCTTTAATCTGCTGCAGTTACGATGTGACTGTAAATCCTGAGCAGGAACTCTGAAATGTTCCATTCAATGGATATTTAAGGAGATCCAGGCCAGTGCTGGGGCTTGGCCAAGGAGGTGGAAGCCGTGGGATCCAAGTCCTGGTGGGAACGTATGGTGGGGTGCTTTGGGAGCACGTCCTTAACCTCTTCCCCTTGGTCTTACCCAAAAGGATTCATTCTTTCATTGTACAACAAAACATCTTGCATTGTGTTCTTACCATGAAACTGAGATCTGATCGTGAATGTGGTAACTTCTAGGTGAAGGCAACTCCACTGTGTCCACAGAAGATATTAGAGAATGTTTGAAAAAACAACTTGAATTCTGCTTCTCACGGTACAGTACAGTTCATTCCACTTCGTATAAACCCTTTATTAGAATTGTTGACAAATGTTTCCCTTTTCTGGCTCAATATGTGCTATAATCTTCATAAAAACATTAAGTGAGAGAGTTTGGTTGTGATATGAAACAAGATTTGCTAAAATGTGGTAGAAACCCTGTGGTACATTTGGGCTGTTTCAGTCCTGTCCGTGTGTCCTTGTCCTTTGGTGAGAGCTGGGGATCCCTCGTGTGCTTCACAGCTGTCAGACACTGGCAGTTCATTCAACTTCGTATAAACCCTTTATTAAAATTGTTGAGAAATGTTTCCCTTTTCTGGCTCAATATGTGCTATAATCTTCATAAAAACATTAAGTGAGAGAGTTTGGTTGTGATATGAAACAAGATTTGCTAAAATGTGGTAGAAACCCTGTGGTACATTTGGGCTGTTTCAGTCCTGTCCGTGTGTCCTTGTCCTTTGGTGAGAGCTGGGGATCCCTCGTGTGCTTCACAGCTGTCAGACACTGAGAGATCAGTTATTGTGTATATTGTGCTGGGGGTTACCAGAAAAGGTCTCTTTGACAAGATCCTTTTTGCAGACTATCCTGCAGAGCACTGTAACTTTCATTATTTTTTTTTTTATTTCAGTTATCTTATTCTGCTTTGGTTTGATCTGCTCGGATTTTTTTCCAGGAGAGAAAAATCTGAGTCCGTTTTGGTTAGAGTTAGCTATGAATGGTGTTGGGCAATAGTTAAGCCTGCAGTTATCCTGTTGTTTTGAGGCTTCTGTAAATAAAGTTCAAGATTATGCTAAAATAGTGAACTTACATCTTTTCAGTGAGAATCTCTCAAAGGATCTCTACCTGATGTCTCAAATGGACAGTGATCAGTTCGTTCCAATATGGACAATTGCCAACATGGAAGGTATTAAGAAGCTGACGACGGATATGGACCTTATTCTTGAAGTTTTGAGATGTAAGTCTGGGTGTTAGGATTCTCTTTTCTGTGAATTCAGACACCTGCCTTGCTTCAGGGTAACACCAGTCCCTCAGCTGATGGCATATTGTTCTGGGAAATGGTGACGGGAGCCCCATTCTGCAGAGCTGTTTGAGGAAGTGCCTGTTCCAGACTCCTCACTTCCAGTTATACAACAAACTGCCTAAATCTGCCCCAATAAGAGGCCGCTCTCAGATACTGTTAGCAGTGAAAGTCTTATTCTGGGAGTAAACCTTGTCTTCTGATTCAGTGAAAATTTTACTAGAAATTGTAAAACTAGGAAAAAACTTCTGAGAAGTCAGCTGGAATTCTTCTGACGCGCTGTCCCGTGCTGATTCTGCACGTGGCTCTGTGGGGAAGCAGTTGAATGTGAACTTTTCCAGTCTGTTCTGACTAGATTTCCCTACCCTTACTTGAACTTTTCATCTTAGAGCTCGGTCTAAGAATATTTTTATATCCTCTTGCTTGAATTTGAGCTGGCAGCGAATAGAATTTGGGACTGTTTCAGATACCTGAGCTGCAGGTGGAGGCAGCGTCAGACAAACACCTAAAACATACTGAAGATCTAATGCAATATCAGATAAAACAGTCCTTTTCCCTCAGTTCAAGAATCAGACAAACCCTAAAATGTACTGAAGATCTAATGCGATATCGGATAAAACAGTCCTTTTCCCTCAGTTCAAGAAATCTGGTTTCTCAAGCGGTTCGTTGTGGTTCTTTGTGACAAGGTTGGACTATGGGGTCTGGGACTGCTGAGGTGTTTTGCAGTGCACAATGTCCAATATTAAGCCAACTTTTCTATTTAAATTTTAGCTTCTCCTATGGTACAAGTGGATGAGAGAGGGGAGAAAGTAAGGCCAAACCACAAACGATGTATTATCATTCTCCGTGAGATCCCTGAAACCACACCTATAGAGGTAAATAAATAGAAAAGAAAGACAGAAAAGGCTGTTGATGTTTTTGGAAAGCGTCTTCAACTGATTCAAACAGCAACAGGGACTATTGCTTAAGTCACCTGGTATTTAATTTGATTAAACACAGGTATTTTTCTTGTAAACCACCGAAGTAATTTTTTCTGCTTAGATGTATTGTCAAAAAAGCCAAAGCAATAACTTGTTGCCATTGGTGTCCTTTTCCATTATTTACTAATACATTAAAATTCTCTTAAGTAAGCCTTCCCCCCCTCTTCCAAATTGAGCTAGCTGGGCTTTTCTGGATGGAAGTTTAAACTGATCTCCTTTCAGATCCAAAAATAAAATCAGTCCAGGGCATAGCTTGGAATTCAGGCTGAATTTTTGTCACAGCAGTAACTTTACTTGAAGTCAGACGGTTGTTTTGGCAGCAAGAAATGTTACTAAACATTTCTCATTCATTGTGACCCAGCGTGAGCTGAGCTCATTATGTTCAGAGAAGGGAGGATAATAAAATTCCTACTGATATTTGGCTAACAGAATGATTTAGTTGTTTGTTTTTTAAAGTTGTAACACAGGCTGTTTGTCTACTAGCATTTTTAATTAGTTCTTTTAATGCAAACGCTGAACAGCTGCTTTGCCTTCTCTTTAAAATCTGATTATTGCAAAGCTGTCAGGTTGCCTTGATTTAGAATTATTTCTGAGAGTCGTTCTTGTCTGGCTGACTCTCTGATCTAAAGCCCCGTGTTTGGGGAGCTCAGGCTGGGCTGGAGTTCTGGGTTCAGAAACAGGGGGAGGATGATTTGGTGTCTGGCAGAGCTGTCAAGGGATTAAATAACATCCCTGATCAAGGGCAGGTTGTGGCTGAGGAGCTGGAGTGTAAACTTGTGTTGGTTTAGTGTTTAATTTACAACTTTGAGCTGGGTCTTCCTTAACTGCCTGACTTCTCCTCTCCCCCAGGAGGTGAAGGCTCTCTTTAAGAATGAGAACTGTCCCAAAGTGATAAGCTGTGAGTTCGCTCACAACAACAACTGGTACGTTACATTCCAGTCGGATACGGATGCACAGCAGGTAAGGCTGCCTTCAGCTGCTCCTGACAGCTCACTTTTGTTGTTAATACTTCCCCCGTGTGAGAATTTCACACAGGCTTCCTGCGGCTAAAAGAAATGCTTTTATTTTTTTTAAGAGGTTATTGGCAAATTCTAGTTAACAGAAAAGAAGGTTCAGAGGTTGTGGGGTTATAATTCCCTTGTCTGCCTCTTGCCTTGGTGCATTCTGATATCTCGTATCCTGAATTTGAAGTGTTAATGAATTTAGCTGCACTAACAGGGAAGCACGTTGCTGCAACTTCATGTTAAATCATGCAATGGCCTTTGAGAAGCACAATTTTATCAAGATACTTTCATGTTAATCTATTTTGTATCCGCAGGCATTTAAATACTTAAGGGAAGAAGTGAAAACCTTTCAGGGCAAGCCAGTAATGGTAAGGCTGCTTTATATGGGGTTTCTGTTGGAATTGAACTATTTATTGTTTCTGGTTGAATGATAGTGTGTGTTTATGGTGGGAGGTAAGGAGTTAGCAGTGGGGTGGTTCATAACACTTGCTCTGGAGGCTGCTCTCCTGAATGAGGTCACGGGAGCTTTGAGAAATGACAGTTCAGTGGCTGCTGGTTGTTCCCGGTGCTGCTTCCCATGAGGTGTGAAACACATTCCTATTTCGTCCTCCCTTCTCCGCTCTCCCCAGAATCTGGGTCTGCAGAGCTCAGGAGAGGGGCTCCTGCCACGGGAGCCTCTGCAGTTGAGGCTGGAGCTGAGAGAGCAGCTGTCAGAGCTGGAGTCTGGGTGGGTGCTGCTGCAGAAAGCAGTGTCTGCCTTGAATTTGACAGGTTCTCAGCTGAAGCAGCACGTGGGCCCTTCCCTGGGCGCTGTAAGAATGTAGCCTGTAGTGATTTTTATCAGTTTTTATTTGTAAGCGGTAACCAGCCTACTTCCTCTTCACATCCCTTTTCTTATCACTCCAGTAGGCAAGAAAGATTTCACGTTCTGTTTCTCCTTATCTCCCAACCGATGTCTGCGATGTGATTTCGTATCTTCCAGGCAAGGATAAAAGCCATCAACACATTTTTTGCTAAGAATGGTTACCGGGTGGTGGATTCCAGTGTCTACACTCAGCCGGTTCAAACCCAAGCACAGTTTGCCTCCCCACTGTTTATGCAGCCTGTATATAGTCCTCAGCAGTACTCTATCTACAGCATCGTGCCTCAGACGTGGTCTCCAAATCCTGCACCTTACTTTGAAACACCGCTGGTAAGTGGCAGCTGATGAAAATGAGGGGGGTTAGCCCAAAACAGCAGAAATAATAACTGTTAACCAATAACGATTAGTTAATAAATCAAAGTGTTAATGGGCTTTTCAGCTGGAGAACGCAGTTTTTCTAGTCAGATCACTTAGTTTGATACTTGGTGTTATGTCATGGACCTGATAAAGCAAGATGGTCAGAAATGCTGGGTGTCTCACCACTGGTTGCCATTTATTTTGAAGAATTTTGGTGTGACGTGCTGTTATCCAGTAGGTAGTGTTACTGGAAGAGCTTTGCAGCTCTTCTGGGAGCAGGAGGGCTCTGATGCTGAAGCAGACGCGCAGACCATTACCCTGGTGGGGTTTTCTCTTTAGAAGTGACAATTACAAGGTCGTAGATGCAGAGCCCAGAGTAAAAGTTCAGACAGACGGGGTGAATGACTGCCGAAGCTGATCTCATAAAGCTCTTCTGGGAGCAGGAGGGCTCTGATGCTGAAGCAGACGCGCAGACCATTACCCTGGTGGGGTTTTCTCTTTAGAAGTGACAATTACAAGGTCGTAGATGCAGAGCCCAGCGTAAAAATACAGACAGACAGGGTGAATGACTGCCGAAGCTGATCTCATAAACCTGCAAACATTTTTCTTTGTCGTTCAGCCGTTGAGACTGTTCTGTCTGTTGCAGGCCCCCTTTCCTAACGGTGGATTTGTGAATGGCTTTAATACACCAGGATCATATAAAACAAATGCTGCTTCTTTGAGTATAGGTCGCCCATTCCACAGGAACCGGTAAGAGGCTCTGTCGTGGTTTGTTCACTGGGGACTTTCAGCCCTGAGATCCTGACCTCGTGCTTGTAAGATGCAGTGCCTTCTGATGGGACTAAGTTAGTTACTTTGCTTATTAAATGTGTATGATGTTTTTCAACTTGATTTATAAATTAAAATCAAGGTGGCGGTTTAAGATCCTAAAATAATGGATGTATGTGCTGGAGAGAGCAAAGGTAACTCCTTTAAAAGCCTCAGAGGAATTTCTGCAGACAAATAAATAAGTTCCTCTTAAGGTAATGCTTCTAATTATGTTTGTTATACGCAGATTATAAACTCCTGCAGTACAAATGGGAGCTTTTGCTGTTGTATGATTAGTCTTGCAGAGAGCGTTCAGTTTATGCAGCTCTGGCTGCTGTTTGCTAAAACTGCTTGATGTCTTACTGTAATTTATTTGCTTTATCCCCATCTTCTGTGATAACTGTAAGGACTCAGAAATAAACACTGGGGAGGAGGAAGCAGCTTTGTATTTGCTGGAACGACACTCTGTAAATACACTGGAGTAGTAATCTGTTTATGGGGGTGGAAATGGTTTTATTTGCGAGCTCCTTCGCTGCGTTCAGCAGGCGGGCTGATAGCATGGGAAGTGCTTTTTATACTCTTGGAGAAATGGGTTGGCAGCTGCCAGTGGGGAGAGTGGTTTGGAGATGCAGTTAAGGTTTGTGGCTCTTGGCAGAAGGTGAACTTCAGAATTTGGTCTGCGGTGACTCAGCAGAGTTTTACCCGGGCTGTGGAGCTGGGGGGAGGACTTGGCTTCGGAGACGGCGCAGCTGATGCCGTTACAGCTGCTCAGCTCCCAGCTAAGGCCTTTCTATAAAGGTTGGTGGTTTCTGCCTGAAACTGTGCCCAAACCTAAAGGCTGTAAAACTCTCACATATATGGATCCTTTCAAGAAGTAAGAAACTGTACGAGAATTGTATGTACCCAAATACTAACATCCTGAAATGCTCATGTGTCCACTGCCACCTTGTAGATCACATCTGTGTAATCCTTAAGCTTTTAAAACTGTTCTGGTTCTATGTGACACCTCATCTGTAAAACTCCAGTCGTTGTGAAGTTACAGCTTTAGGGTCGAGCGTGCACAGGTTCTGCTGCACTGTTGTAGTTGTCTTACCTTTCCTGCCAATTGTGTTCAGCCTTTGTGCCAGAGCAAAGCTCTGTTTTTGCAGTAATAAATCTTTATATTCTGGAAGCAGACATCAGTTAAGCTTCAGGAGGACTCCTCTGGAAGCAGGAGGCTGCTGAGGTTCGGCCCAGTGATGATCAAGTATCGCGCTAAGAGAGAACAGGTCCAGTCGCTGGCCTGGGCAGCCTGCGCTTCACGCTTTTCCTTCTCTTCTCTCTCTCACATCATCTCTCCTTCTCTCTGCTTTTTTTTTTTCTTCCTTATCTTTCCTCGTCTTTTCTGCTTTGCTCTTCTGCCCAGACAAGATTGTGGCCTTCTCAATGACGGGTAAGATTATGAGATCTGAGGGCTGAATAATGACTTGAGAATCTTCCATTTTAAGAAGGAATTGAACAAAATGGAAGACTTTATTTAGCTTACCTCCTCCTCCCTGTGGGCTTTGCTTTTCTTCCTTATCTTTCCTTGTCTTTTCTGCTTTGCTCTTCTGCCCAGACAAGATTGTGGCCTTCTCAATGACGGGTAAGATTATGAGATCTGAGGGCTGAATAATGACTTGAGAATCTTCCATTTTAAGAAGGAATTGAACAAAATGGAAGACTTTATTTAGCTTACCTCCTCCTCCCTGTGGTCTTTGCTGATGGGAAAAGTTAATGGTTTTGGGGTCGTTTGAACTGGTTCCTAATGCTTCTTGAAGCTGTGAAGTATGAATTAATCTTTGTTCAGCATATCTTCTCTCGAACTGCAGAAGAGTTTGGAGGGGTTCATCCAGCAGCTGCTTTTGGGTTTCTGTGCTGAATGATTTGTTTTGTCAAACAGGCAGTTAATAGTTAAGTATTGAATTTTTCTCTAGAGCTAAACATTTGCTTAAGCCCCTGGTATTTATTTTGCTCTGATTTGTTGCAACATCCTTGTTGGGAAGGAAGATTGAGTCTTTGTAACAGAGAATCCTCAGTGCTAATATTGGTTATATTGATATTTTTCTGTCCAGCCATCTAAAAGGTAACTTAGTATGTCTCTGGTAAAGCAGATTAACTTGACCACTCAAAACAGGGCTATTAAAAGGTGATTTTCTTTCTGCTTTCTGGTTACATATGAGATGCTGCAAAACAAGTTTATTGGTGGGTGCTGAAAGGAAACTACCTGGGTGTTAGGCAGCCTGGGGTCTGTGGCATCCACCACACGCCTGTCCATATTCACTTAGAGCAACCAAAAGCTGCACAATTTATGGGCTGTTGAAAGGATGGACCCTTTTTCAGGCTGCTCCTTGATTATTCTGTAAGATCATGTTGTCAAGTACCTTCTCCTCTCAGACAGGAATCACGCTTTGGCTGGCAGTGGGAGAATTTCTCCTGATTGCGTGGAACGTTAACATGACATTGTTTAAAAACAATAAGCATGCAAAATCCTCCTCCTGACCTAAAATTGTGAGATGTGCAGGGTTGACCAGAGGAGAAGGATATAATTTAAGGTCCTTGTCTCACTTGCCGAAACTGGTCAGGGTGGCATGGAAAAAGAAGGTGCAGAAGTGAAAAACAGTCTAAGGCAGCTGAATGCAGCTCCAGAAAACTTCCATGTAATGGCAAGTCAGGGTTTTGGGGGGTAATTCTGCATTTAGGAGCCTGAGCCTTAACTTGCAGAAACACTGAGTGTGTGCGCCTGCGTCTGTGCTCAAAGGAAATGCAGCTTTAATGCTGAACAATCAATAACTGGGTGAATTGTCTGGGGTACTGTAAAATGCAGAGTCAGTGCTGTGGGTGCTTGATGATAGGAAGAGGGAGATCCTGGCGTTTCAGGCCACTGAGGGAGGGGGGGCTCTGGCTGCCCTGGCCTCCTCTGCCCTCTTCTCTTCAGCCCATTCAGTCACCCTCTGCTCCTGGCTTCTTGTTTCAGTTCAGGTTTTTTTTGCCTGTGGCCAGATCAGTGTGTTCCTCAGGCTCGGTTTAGTTCTCCAGATCCCTTCCCAACACCCCGAGCTGTGCTGCAGGCCCAGACAAATGAAGAATCCCTCTTTGGGGTCTTCTGGCTCTTTTACCACCCCTAGGTTTTGGGGTTTTTTTTTTGTTGGTTGGGTTTAGGAGTTAGGTGGGTTTTTTCCCCCTTTGAGGGATTGTTGGGCAGTGATCTTGATGATTTCTTCAAATGGTAACACTTGACAGGAGGGGAGGTCGCAAGAAAACTGTAACAAAAGGAAGAACAATTTCTTGACAAAGTGTGTAGGAAACAACTTCTCTGATGGAGTCCCAGTACTTACTGACCTCCTCCTTTCTATGAATTGACTGTAGCTGGTGGTAGTTTTGCATCTTGCCCTTTACACTCTGGTTCTGTGTCCTGCAGCGTGAAGCCCCATTTCCGATCCTCGGCCGGCGCTGAACACGCCGGGGAGGGTCCGGCTGCCGCCAGCGCCCTGCCCATGGGGGATGGAGCCCTGAGCAGGACCAACGTCAGGAACTTCGTCATGGAGCGGCAGAGCAGCGCGGTACCCGGGCACCAGGAGCAGGGCTACTCCCAGAAGGATTCTCCTGCTGCACAGATGGAGCAGAACGGGGATTACGGCGTTGGCAGGGGCAGGTAAGGGCTGTGTGGGCTGTGAGGGGACAACGCAGTCAGGTCCTGGTGTTGGAGGCTCAAATGGCTCGTGGGAGCCAAGGATCATCGACCATTGCAACAAGATGTCTTTCTGCAAAGACTGATCAGGAGAAAATTGACATTTAAATAAAGCTGGAGTGATAAATACTGAACTAGGAGTATGAATGAATCGTATGAGGAGCGGCTGAGGGAGTTGGGACTGTGTGAGGAAGTGTGAGGAAGAGGAGGTTGAGGGGAGACCTCATCACTCTCTACAACTACGTGAAATGACACTGTAGAGAGGTTGGTGCTGGTCTCTTCTCACAGGTAATTAGGGACAGAACGAGAGGGAATGGCTTCAAGCTCCAACAGGGGAGGTTTAGATTGAACATTAGGAAGGAATTTTTCACCCAAAGAGTGGTCGGGCATTGGAACAGGCTGCCCAGGGAGGTGGTGGGGTCCCCATCCCTGGCTGTGTTGAAGGGCCGTTTAGATGCAGTGCTGAGGGACATGGTGTAGGGGAGGACTTTGTAGAGTAGGGGAGATGGTTGGACTCGATGATCCCAAGGGTCTCTTCCAACCTGGACCATTCTATGATTCTATGAATGCTTCCCGCTTGACTCTACAGCTATTAGTTATTCTCTCAAATACGTTGCAGTAAGATAGTGAGGTGCCTTCCTTTCAAAATAACCATCTGATTTGTCCCCAGAATTAAAACAGTTGCTGAAGTAAAGTGGGTATTTGTATTACTGTAAATAATAAGCAAATACTCAGGGAATTTGATGCTCCTAAACATTGTGAAATCAACTGGTTTTATCTTTTTTTCTATTAATTCAGCATTTAGACACTTAAACATAAGTGACCAAGATAGATACTTGAGAAATGAGATTAACAAGTTTCTTACTATAAAATTATAGGATACTATTCTATAATATTATAGTCTAGTTGTCGCTGTGCTTATTCAGATACAATGCTGTAGGGTACCTCCTCCACGGGGAGAGAAAAGAGAAATTGTTTCCCGTGTTGGCTGTGTCCCAAGAGCGTAAGAGCTCTGACCCCTCCTGAAGATGGAGAACATCCCAGAGCTGTAGCTCAGACACATCAGTAGCTGCTGTAGATCCCCCGCCACAGGCTCCCCTTTGTGCAGAGGAGTACACACTTCAGCCAGATGAATGCACTCACTGACTTTTTTTTTTTTGCCTTTAAAGGAGGAACGTTTTCAGAGGTCGGAGGAGACGAGAAGATGACCGCGTTTCAGTGAGTTCCACTTCCCTTACTGCAGGCAGTGGCACAAAGTGTGTGTGTTGACTTTGCATTTATTGAAGGAATGGCCATAATGTCCCTAAATGCTCAGAGCAGAGTGTGGGGATTCAGTCTTTCTAGGAAAGTTCTCTGACACTTGCTTAGTGCTTTTAATAGTAGGTGTTAACAGCTCTATTAACAGGTGTTTTCTCCTCTAGAGACCTCAGCCTTCAGCAGAAACAAAGACTCAGACACCAAAGTTTGACTTGCTAGCTTCAAATTTCCCGCCTTTGCCTGGCAGCACAGCAAAAATCCCAGGAGAGCCCGTGCTGGAGAGCAGGATGGCCGACGTAGTTAAAGGAGTTTGCAAAGAAAAGGTGGGCACTCTCATCTCCAGCACACAGCTGGCAGCACACACACACTGCTCTCCTAAAGACCCGGTTTGTTAGAGCTGCACGTGAGAATGCTTTACGCCCAAACATCATACTCTGTTAATATAGTAGTGTATTTTCTGCCTTTCTGTTTTTGGATTTCCTTGGCTTTTTGCAGGTATTTAGCTGAAGCTTCTGTAATTTTACTATTGTAAGCTCATACTGTTTTGGAATAAAGCAGGCAAGTGAGGAGTGTTGGCTGTTGAAGTAGTTTGTGTGTGATGTAGGCAAGGGCTGCTTCCAGATGAGTCTGTTAATGGAGCTGGTGGGGCTTGGCGTTGATAACTCGGATGATAGAGTGGTTTATCCACTGTTTGTTTTGCCCATATGAAGAGTGATTGCTTTAGAGACCATGCTCCAAAAGAAGTAAATTCCTATAATGAGGACTTGAGCAGCCTTTGGAAATACCCACTTTTCGGATGTCTGGAACTGGCATATTGAGGAGCAATTTAAGCACAATTGTGATCTTTCCACATTTTGCAACTTCTCCTTTCTGTACAGGAGAGCAAAGATTTGCTGCCCAGCTGCCCAGCTCCTGCTCAGGAAGAACCGACGCACAGCACTGTCCAACAGCCCGTGGCAAGTGTGAGTTCACCAAGTCAGACTGAGGCTGTGGCATTAAGGTACGTGGATTACTTGAATCAAGAGTATTAAAATTTGCACATTCAGGCAAAGACTGCAGCCATTGTCCAGCGAGGTGGCTGTAATGTTTGTTTTTTCTTCTCCATCTGTGGTGGCAGCTTCTCTAGAGGCCACAAAATACAAATTGTGGTGGTAATGGCTGTAGCATCCTGTTCCGCAAAAAATACAGTCGTGACTTCAAAGAAAGAAAATACTTTCCCAAACGTTAATTTTTGCGTGAGTAGGTTTTAATGTTAAATTGTTGTTGATCTAACAGCACGGTTCAGCCAGACAGCAAAGCAGAAGAAGTGTCTGCTCAGAAGGATGTGACAAGCCACACTTCCCCGCCGGTGTCTGTGTCTCCTGTCGGTGCTGCGAAGCCGCCGAGGACAAACACCGCTTCACCTTCCAGCGGTGCCAGCGCCGCTCCTGCCTCCGCGCTGCAGGTGAGGTCCCGTGGGGAGCACAGGGGGGGCTTTATCTGGGACATGCTGCTGGAGCACAGGGACCATCTCTCGTGCTGTTTGCCACAGCTGTGGTGCAGTCGCTCGCTGCGCGTGTTCTGCTGGGGAGGGTCTGGGAGGGCAGAGTCTGGTGGTGCTGGTGCCTCAACCCTGCTCTTCTCCCTTGGTCCCCAAGGAGCCGCGCAAGCTGAGTTACGCCGAAGTTTGCCAGAAGCCCCCCAAGGAGCCTCCCCCAGTTCCCGTTCAGCCCCTCAGGGAGCATCGCACCAACGTTCCCCCTGCCAAAAATGAAGAGAATGGCACCCCTGAGAAGGCTCCGGAGAAGGCGCACGACAAGGGTGAAGGTCGAATGAAGGATTATCCTGGGTTCCGAGGCAACGGGCCTCCCAGGGGAGCTGCGGGGAAAATCAGGGAACAGAGGCGCCAGTTTGGACGCAGGTCATCGCCTCAGGGAGCACCGCGACGCGTCGGCAAGGAGCAGTACGTGCCACCCCGCTCACCAAAGTAACTCTTGTCCAGCCAATTATTCTCTATTTAATTTGAGCTGTGGACTAATAAGCAGCAAAGGAGACTGTGAGAAAGGAGTATTCGTGAAGGGGAATACTGAACTGGAGCGTGGCTTGTGTGGAGAAGTTATGGAGGGTCCCAAAATTCATCTCTAAAAGTGATTTCACAAATGCTGGAGGATTCCAATCAATATAAATATAGAGATTATAATTTTTGTATTTTTGTTTTTAATTTGCAGAGGGTTTCCTGCTTGAAATCAGTTTTGGGGTTGTGAAACTAGCGTTTTGACAAAGCGAAAGAATATGAATTGACAAATTAACCTGTCCCTCAGCGTAGGAGGAAAAGGAGAAGAGAACATTATTTTTGAAAAAATGAGCATTTCTGTAAAATTAGAACTTTTTTTAACCTATTTAACATTTGGCTTGTGGGATGGTGTGTCTGCCATTGATGGCCTTGCACTGCAGAGCCCGTCTGCGGCTGAGGTGCTTGGTCGGCGCGTGAGCGGAGCGAGTGCAGCCAGAGACTGTTGTCATGACTTGGTCACTGATGAGAAAACCTGAATGTACTACTGTAGTGAACTTTGTGTTTCCAGCTCGAAGTATAGTCTCTTGACCTTACTAATAATTCACTCAGCAAGCTTTTTAAACTAAAATTTCTACAGGATACTGGATTGTAGATCAGAGCACGTGGACAGCAAAAATGGTCTTCTAGACGCAATTGGGAGGAGGCACATCAGAGTTTTTACTTTGCCCTTTTTCCTCGCCTCCTTTTGAGGGCAACTTCTTAGGTTTGGTTTGGTTTTTTTCTTGCTTGTTACTTTCTCTAATCTCTTTATTACAGACTTTTGTGCATTTATCTTGGTATGTTTTCCTGAGGCAGGCCCAGTGTGGGATTGACGGATGGCTACACACTTTGAGGTGTGAGTTCAGGAGTAGGGAGCCTGGAATTCCAGCTGCAGATGTGGAATTCTGCCTGGCGGGTGGGAAGGCCGGGGGTCAAAGGGATGTCTGTCCCAAGGGCGAGCGAATCGGAGGAGTGGCTGGGTTTTCTGTATACTGACCTATTTTTGTGTTCTGGAGTAGGGTGTTGGATGCTGTATACTAGAAATCAGGGTTTATATCTACTGGGAACTCACTGTTTACAGCTGATGTAGTAGCAACTGACTTTTTTTTAACTGTTTAGAGTGGAACTAAAGGTGAAGAGTTAAACAAAACCCCTCATGTTCAGAGAAGCTACTTGAAAGGTAGCCTCTTGCCTAGCTGTGTGCTGACTAAATTTGCAACACTATTGTGTAGTAAGTGGTTAAGTTTAGAAGCGATTAACGTAATGACGAAATAGGAAAATGCAGTGCATTAATCTGCCAAAATCAGCATGCCAGGGTTCAAGGTTCTGTATAAAGTGTTAGGGAAAAGTAGCTTCCAGCAGTAAGAATCACACCTTTTTTTTTTCTTTTTTTTTTTTTTAGTGAATAGCAAGTGTACAAATTTAAAGTTGTAAGTTGTGAACACTGGAAAACTCAATTGTGATATATACCGTAAACATCTTAGTAATATATGCTAGTGTTGCCATTAGAATGAATGTAAGTGGCAGTTAAAATAACTGTGAAAATTTTCATCTTCTGATTTCTTAGCCAGATAACCCTTGGCGACTTCTTACTCGGTAGGCATTCTCTATCAACTGCTTTGAGAACACTCATATCTATTTTTATAAATATATATATAAAGCCAGAGTTGTCATTTCTCTAACTTATTATTCAGCTTGGCAATTGCTTTGATTTGTTTCATAACACAATATAATGTATTTATGCAGTTAACTGTTCATTTCTACGCATGTTATATATATATACATATATATATACAAAAAAAAAAAAAAACCAAAATCATTACTCACTTTTAAACTACCTGTACTGGGTTTGGGAGGTTTTTTTTAATTTAGTAAAAAAAATCGTTGATCATGTCTACAGTTTAGGGATGCTTACAGAACCCTTCTCCATTTATTTCGATAATGCTACATTTGTTGGAATGATAGAGAAGTTTAAATACTTAGAAGTGTTAAAAGTTCTGAAATGCAATTAATTTGATTTTTTTAATAATTTTAAAGGCTATAAACAATTACTGCAGTCAAACTGGAAAAAAACAAACCTGATAGTCGCAGATATTTAGGATAGATGCGCGCTGTCCTTGCGAACTGAGTAAGTGTTGGGGTGTCAGTAGCTGTGGGAGGAGGAGGAGGAGGAGGAAGAGGAGGAAGAGTGCTTTGGGGAGAGGCTTCTGCAGGTGTCGGGCTCTGGCCTCCGTGGTGAAGGCTAATTCTGATCCCCACGGGCGTCTGCTTTCAGTGCAGCGCGTAGAATAACTTAGTAGTGCTGAAAGTAGCTGAATGTGTAACATTTGTGAAACGTAGCTTCTTCATTTATTAGATGTGGGAGGAAAAATAACTGCAGTTCAACCTTGCTTGTAAGGGGATTGGAAAAACTTGACCGTGGAAAGGATGCTGTGTGTGTCCTGGGTATGTGTTTTCCAGCAGCAGATTAGGGCTCTTGTACAGTGTATGCAAATCAGTCTGTAAACCTGTTGGCTTTTTCCAGATATTCAAACTTGTATCAGATTAGGACATTCATAATTATTTATTTAATACCTGCGTGCAAGGATCTAACATGAGCATTTCCCTTCTTCCCCCGCCCCCACTGCCATTTATAACCGTGGGGTTTGGTGGTTTGGTTTGGTGGTTTGTTGTTTTTTTTTTTTTTTTTTTTTTTTTTCTTTTTCCCCTTTTTAATCTTTGTTGGGGGGAAACAACCAAGTAAATATAAGGCTGTGAAAACCCATAGTTTTGTGTGCAAGCTCTCCTGCAGTACTCGTATTGCATGGCAAGCGCGTACCTTAGACGGGCCAAGCTGCTACATCCTCACCCCCGTGAGGGACGCGGGCACGGGCCAGGCTCTGCCCTCCCAGTTTGCCCACTGGGACGGAGCGGGGCGGTCGGGGACGCGGCGATCGTTGGGGAGCCAGGCTGAGGCTGGGGCAGCTCATTGATTCCGTGTGAGCTCTGCCGTTGGGTCAGCAGAGGTGAAACTGCCCCCTGTTCAACTGTCAGTGAGCACTTCAGTGACAATAACAGTTCTCCGTGGTCCCTTCTCAGTAGCTGAACTCACGGTGTCAGCACCAACCTCCCTGCTCTGCTGATATCAAATACCAGACAGTGCAAATCGCACGTAACTTTCAGTTTTATGAACTGTGACTTGTTTTCAGAATTGTTTTGTTGGCTACAGAAGTGGGCTTCCCCGGTTAAGTTCTTTTCCAAATTGTTGTGCGTGGAAAAGATTGGGCCGCTCTCTCGTACTTCTGCTGGGGAGTGAAAAGAGGAGTAATTCTTTGCATGTGATAGTAAAATTAAAAGTGCAAAAAAGTTTTTTCTTTTGACTTCTGAAATTAAGTTAGTTTTATAGTATCTTACATTCCTGCTATCTTTGTTGTTTTTGTTTTTGTTTTTTTTTTTAAAGAAGTTAGCCTGGCACAGTATGATGGTGCAGTTTTAGCAGTAGGTTTAAAAAAAAAAAAAAGTTTTTTTAAAAAAAAAAGTAACCCACTGTATTAACCAGAAGAGAAAGATGATACTGTGGCAGATCAGTAGCAAATAAGTGACTTAATCGATGCTTTACTGTAGTTAAATAGCTATGGCCTTACTACTTTGTCAATATCAGCTTAATTGTCTTGAAAATGTCCGCTATTTTTACTGTTACCCAAGTGAATGTTCACCTGGGGTAAAAATATCTGGTATGTACAGATGATATTTTAAATTTGTAAAATGCGCCATTGTATTACAGATGATGCAACAGAAATGCACTTCGGGGGGAAATTGCTTCTGATAAGTTTTTTTGTAAATCCTTGATTACTACAGATATGCAATAGAATTTTTGTTTCTAATTTTGATATTTCCTTCTGAAACATAAGATTGTTGCCATTAATCTGAATGATTTATCATGCTCTTCTTTGTGTGTGTATATATTACATATAGTCTGAGCTTCCTTTAGGATGGTACATAATTTTGGTTTGTTGTAGTATTTTAGTTGGCTCTTCTCTTAAGTGCCTTTAGTGCAGGCACTTCAAGAGGTTAATTGAGTCTATTTTTAATGTACAGTTGGGAGGACTTGAAATGAGAGTTAAAGCAACTTATTTCTGAAAAAATCCATCTGCAAACTAACCTGTAACAACTTTAAAATTTTATATTTAAGAACCAGAGGTTTATTTTTATGGAGCTTCAGTTGTGGATACAGTTTCCAAAAATGCAACTTCAAATGTAAACAGACTGTGCATAAATGGGTTTTGTTCTAATTTTTATAGAATACAAAATATTCAGATAATATATTGAGCTCAAGTTACTACAGACATCTTGTTCCTCCCGGACGAATCCAGCTTCCCCCTTGGCATTTATGATCTCTCTCCAAAGTGGTAGGGCTTCAGTGAAAGGAGAAAAAAGCAACCTATCTGGCTTCTATACTTTGTCTGTTCTGGTATATTCCTGTTGTCAAAACTGTCAAAAACAAAATTTGTGTAAAGTAGGTTCATGCTTTAAATGTTAAAATGATAATACATGTATTTGTATTTGTTTTTGACATTGCCAAGGTGCTATGGGAAATTGAAATAACAGTTAGAAAAATAAAGCTGATTTAAAAGAGAAAAAACACCAAAAAAACCAACAAAAAAAGCCCCAGGCTCTTCATTGCACGTTTGCTGTTGTGGTGTTGAACCTGCTCTCTTTTTCCTCGACCTCGTCCGGGGTCACTTCAGTGAATAAATACTCACGATTCGGGTACCCCTGGCCTGTGAGGGGGAGCTGGGGGGGCCCTCAGCGACTGGGGGAGCTGTCACTGCACTTACCTGGCCCTTCTCTTCCCTTGAGGTAAACTTTCTCCTTACACGGGACAGACGGAAAAACGCTTTTCTGGGGTTGTGTAGGGTGTTTCCAGCTGTGTCTTCATTTCGGGTGGTGGTGGGGGGAGCCTTCACCCCTGAAAGAAATAGGGCGGCCTCCTCCTCCCTTCCCGCGCTCACCTGAGGGGAGCCCTGAGGGGGGGTGAGAGCCCTGAGGGGGGCGGCCACTCTGAAGGGGGGTGAAAGCCCTGAGGGGAGCGCAGTGGCCGTCCCCGCCTCTGAAGGCACCTGAGGGGATGCGGGGAGCGGTGGCCGCCCCTGAGGTGAGCTCGGGGTGGGGGGGGGGG